AAGTATAACATTTATACAAAATCTCAATAAAGAACAGTACTAGTTACACTGTCCGCTTAAAAAAAATCAAAATAAATAAAATAGTTCCAAACAAAGCCACAGAAAAATTATTGTTGTGCATTTCCAAACAACATTGGCTTTCCTGAATGAATCAGTGATTTTTTTTAATTTGTTGAATGAATGATTGAATGACTCATTCAATGACTCATTGAATATGCATACGTCCCTATAGTAGGTGAAAAACAGTATGTGAGTAATATGTCCGTATTCATAGTATCCATTCACACTTTTCTGTCCCATGAGGCCATGGGAGAGGATTTTTGAATGGCACTGAAGCAACACAACTGATGCTGGTAGGTCACATGACAATAACAACATGACGAATGTGGTACATCCAGATGACATTCATACTACACACATTCATGCTATAGAATTTTTTAACAGTCGCAAAGTAATACTTATTCAAAAGGAGTATGCAAATTCATATGCAGCCATAAGTTTCATTCCTGAATGAATCAGTTCAAGACGTTCACTTGCTGGCATAACGATGTAAGACAGAGTCACTGAAAAATCCCTATCACTAAAATGCATAGTCTTATCTTCTCTGAAAGGCCACTGTTGTTTGAGAACTTGCTGCTGTCTAATATGTGCTTGACATTTGTGCAAACTCAGTTCTTCACAATCCATCCGTTTCTACTCAAAGCAGAATGTGTATCAGCCGCTGAGTTTATGTATGTTTCCACATATGGCATCCCTCTTTTACCAGCCTTTCCTTTGAGTGTGTGTGTCAGATCTGGGTGAGGCAGTTGAGCACACAGCTGGCTTTAATATATCTTTATGATCTCCTGTCTTAGGACACAAAAACAGGGATCCTATTCTTTGGTACATGTGCATACAGGCTGGACTTCTTTTGATGAAAATACAACAAACACCATCAGGCTACTTATTGATATACAGTAAACATCTCTTAACCCTCTAATTTCACCTTTTAGTGGATCAGCGACCTGTATTTAACAGAACGGCCGTGGATAACAGCTTTTTAACCCCATTCTCTCTTCTGCCCTCTCATGATGTTCTCTGGTGGCTTTAACTCTGCATGTAATTTTAGGTTACCGTTTTGATGCTACATTATTTAAAATGTGTAAAAGATTCAAATTTTGACACTAGGTTGTTTCAAACCTCTAATCGGAGGATTGGAGAAGTTTTTATGGTATTTTAGGCCTACATATAAATGTACTGTACTGTACAGTAGTTCTACTGGAAAAATTACTAATGTAGAGTTATACACCAAAACAGTGTGCATAACAAACCAAATGTAACAACATGTGGTTTTAGGGTCCATTTGCATGACTTTCACCCAGCAGTCAACTGTTAAAGCAATTAGCCTGCAGTAAGGTCTAAATCATTTCAGACTGAGAGCACCCTGGGACAGAGCCGTTTCCTCTTGCCTTAAGCAACCAAACACTCTGAAAACTCAAAACCTCTCTACTAGACGTGCTAAAGTTTTTGACTTTATGGGTAGGATATACTGTATCATAGAGGATCTCCATGGGCCCCATTGTCACTCACTCTCTTGTTTACTCACTCTCAGGCCATCCAAGATTCAAATTGAAGTTTAAATGCCTTGATGGATTTGCTTATTACAAACACACAGATTTTCACTTCACAAGATGTTAACCGATTGAGTCATGTGGATTACTTGTGGATTATTGTGATGTTTTTATCAGCTGTTTGGACTCATTCTGACGGCACCCATTCACTGCACATGATTAATCGATGAGCAAGTGATGTAATGTTAAAGTTCTCTAAATCTGTTATGATTAAGAAACAAACTCATCTACATCTTGGATGGCCTGAGGACGAGTACATTTTCAACAAATGTTCAATTTTGGGTAAACTATTCCTTTAAGTTTTTATGTCCTGATGCTTTGTGATTTTTGTCAGAATGACAGTTCCCAAGACAAAAATCTATAGTTTCCAGTAGTTCGAGAGAGTTGTTGGTTTCTGTTTCATTGCCACCAGTTATTTTTCTTTCCCCCAAATTCTATGGAAAACTGTAGAAATATTCAGGGGATCGTGTGAACTTCCAGAGCCAGCAGCGAGGGGCTTCCCTTCTCTACCCAAGAATCCGCTAATATCCTGTGTCATGAAAAGACATTACTGGCACAGAGATGGAGGCTTGAAAAAAGGCTTGAAATTCAAACAAATAGCTTTAGGAAATGCAGTAGACAACCAAAAAGACATGCAGATGAATTAATTTAGCTTACCAGATTTAGTTATTGCTGGTTGGGAAAGAACAAAAGAACGAAGAACAAAAATAACAAAATGACCATTGTTCATTTTTCTCTTTTTGGTCTTCATCAAGCAGAGTCACCACAGGCACTCAAATCCCCCTGCAGCATTCATTGCACGGCTAATGCTAAACCATGATAGCCACTTAAAAAAGGCCTCTCCGCTCCCCAAAAGAGCTGCCTCTGTCTGATTTAAATAAAGAAAAGCAGTTCCAGACTCTTAAAGTCATTTCCATGTTTTTGTTTTCCTTCCAGTTTTGTGGAAAATGAGATCCATGTGCTGTGTGAAAGATCATCAGTCTTGTGAGTGGATTTATTGTAATCAATAAAGTGAGCGTGGAAGACAACAGGAAGAGTTCATGTTCATGACTGAGGAAGAATAACAGACAAATGAGCAACAGTAAAACTAAAAATAAGTTAGATGAATTTATGAGGCAAAAATATAAAGCTGCATTTTCTGCAGTCATTAGAGGTTAAAGGGGTCATATGATGCTATTTTAAAGATCATTATTTGGTGTATTTGGTGTAACAGAATATGTTGACATGCTTTAATGTTCAAAAAACATGATTTTTCAAATACTGTACAAATCATTCTAATATGCTGATTTATTATTAGAATTATCAACAGTTGTGCAGCCAAATATTTTTAAGTTACGCCTTCTTTCTTGCATGCACATTTGGACGGCATTATGCTAATATTTCCACATAGTGACCTAGATATGCGGGGGCGTGTTAGAACTAGCCGTTTTAGGTAGGCGTGGCTGACTCTTAACTTTTATAAAGAATATCTCTTTGGATTTGAGACTTTAGTCTTTGCAACTTTACAGATCTTCTTTATGCACCAAGAGCTTGTAACACTCCAAAGAGAAAGGAAAACTTGAAATCGCATCATATGACCCCTTTAAGGGTTGCAATATAAGTAGGCTACTAACAGAAAGATCTGTTCGGTGGAGCAAAACAACATCAGAGGGGGTAATGACAAACAAACAAATGTCATAAAAAGTCTCTCTTCCTTTATTCTTCTGCCTTGTTTGCCAGTTGTTTATTATTTTCATTGTACTCTTTTACAATTTAATCATCTCATTACTCTTAGTTAAATGACACTTTTCAGAAATGTGTGATGATATACGCTGTCAAACATATTTATGTGTCACAGAGAGCGATCTTTCATGAAGTGTGCAGTACTGCTTTGAGGCCCTAGAGGGCAGTGAGAAGATACTACTTAGAAGCATGTAGTCTTTTTTTATTGCTGTTCATATTTTTGATTTGAGGTATAAACGAACCCTTAAGCATTAAACCTCGACATAGATTTCATCCCGCACTGTTTATAAAACAGGCAAAAATGACACCTCAAGTTATGGAGCGTGGTGAGCAGAGGTGAGATGTTACTTAGAGTGATACAGTATATGGCTTATTTTTGCCATTGAATGATAAGCGAGTTAAACTTGCATTAACGAAGAGATTTGAATATTATAGAGACTTAGGATAATTACAATTGGACCAGTAAGCAACCACCATAAAAACCTAATAACTATATATTAATGTTTTTAAAATCACTTCATAAAACACCATAAGGACGCCCTGGAAAACACCCACAACATTGTATCTTCGTGGAGGCAAATGTTTTGCACAGGCCTGATGCTGATTTTCTTCAGAAAATATTTGGGACAGATTTCTGTTTGATTCTGGTCAACTAAATGCAGACTTCCTTTGGAAAAAGGGGTTTGTTTGTTTGTTTGTAGGTCTGAAAGCTGTGTTGCATTAATTCTGCAATCCAAAAGGCAGAGGCCTAATATAGAACTGGCATTGGGTCATTATTACATGATGATTAAATACATTTATTTAAATACATTTTCTATCACAGGCCTTTACAAATTGTATACATATATTGTATATATTGTATATATATATATATATATATATATATATATATATATATACACACACACACAGTATGTATTTATTCTTATATTGCTTTAAAGCAGCTTTACAGAAACTCATCACAGGAGAGCATTGTCCTTTGGCACACATACATTACAATAAATATACACATGGCAAACATTATCTAGTTGCACAGTAAGACTATTACTGGTATTGTGTTCATTAAATTATTTAATATGCAAGACAATGCTTAACTTGTGTAGACAATGAATGATTAATTAATAGCCTTTGTCTATCCTAAAACAGCTGGAGAGGTGCAGGCAATGGTCAGTAAATCACCGATGGTTGTCTGGATGGTAAGTTGGTTTGGGTGTGCGTGTGTGATGGAAACTTGACACACCAGGAGGAAGTTTGCAGTTGACCACAGACCCTGAAAAATAAGACCTCAGATCTTAAAATAGCTATTATGTGACAAATATAAATCAGTGACGTTACTTACATTATCTACTTGTTTAATATATATATAAAAAAAGATTAACAATTTACTTCCTAAATTCTCAACAAAATAATATGTGACGATAATATGGAAATGCTCAGGCCTCATGTAATGATGCAAAAAATGTACAATTAATATCATTTGCCTAATTTCCTGGGTTTAAACAGTTTGTGATGTTTTTACATTTAAAGTACAATGCTGTTTTCTTTCATTTGGGTGCAAAATAACATGAGGAAACTCATGATCTTGAGTAATCATTGTGGCTTTGGCTCTTACAGATGCTCTTGCACAGCTCTGCAAAGAAGTGTAAACTCTTTCGGGCTATACAGGAAGTAGATTTGGCGGAACTTGGAGATGCTGTTTGCGTCACAAGCAAGTTTAGCAGAAGACGTATGATACACTAGATGAGACAGTCTTAAGGAGCTGGGTCGGAGACAAGACCGAGAGAAATGGAGGAGGATATTAGAAAGAAGGGGATGCTGTATTTACAACAGCAGCGGTTTGGGAAGGTAAGACAGAACGTGCTTTACTCCCCAGGGGGCTTATATCAAAGAACAATCGTGTTCTTTTACGGTAATGGTCTGGAACTACTGTCATAGAACAAATATGAAGGCTGTACTAAAAAGACTCATTTGGCCTGACCGTAGGTTGTAGCTGCTCCATTTCATAAATTACGGCAAAATAGTGAAATCCATGAATATTGTAAAAAACACTTTTGATGGATGTTTTTTTAAAATCTCAAATAATTGCAAAATGTTTTGTTGCAAAATACTACTGGACAGTTGGCCCTTCTTTAGTTACTGATCACTTCAGTTGTTTCTCTTTAATGTGCACCGTAAAAAACAACAACCTGAAATTCACCATAAAAAACTGACAACTTTACCATAAAAAAATATGTAGCAGCATTTTAACTTAGCATTTTAGTTAATTTCATTAACTGATATAATAACAGCCAATTGAAGTATTAAAATCAGTTATGAACCTTCATAATACACTGACAACCACCAAAAAACACAGGTGGTCATGAAAAAAGCCACATGTACAGTAGAATCATAGCTCATTACAATGATCTTTCCCTCAAGATGAAGTATATTATAATATTGAAGGTACACACAGTGTCATGCACACAAATATAAAACTCCATCATGTTAACATTAAAATCATAATTCAATAGCTTATCGTTAACTATAATTAACAGGTTTTTACCGTAGCATTTTTACAGTCTTTTACCATTAATAGTACAACATTTTTACAGTGTGGGGAACTTAATTTACTTAACCTACTCGCATTAAAATATAAAATACTGATAGAGATCAGATATTGAAGGTTCATGTTTTTATAAGGGTGTAAAAGTATGTGTTTTTATGCATGTTTGTGCGACAGAAATTATATTTGAACTCACAAGTGAATGAAAAAGATAAATATCATTGGGAAAAAAGCCTTCTGCATTAAAAATGAGTGTGCAGCTTGCTGGGCTTATGAATTTCAATTAGCAGCCTTCACTTTTCCTAATTTGAACCACATGTTTGTCGCCAAATACTCCATATCTATTATGAGCTATTACAATAAGAGAGAAATTCATGAATCATATTAAGCTCACTGGCAGTGTCATGAACAACTTCCTGAACTGTGAATGTGATCCACTTTAACTTGTCCATATTCTCATTTAAAACCATTTTCACTTCATTTTGATTGATGCCGCTGATAATATTGTTGGTTCCGCCATATGGGACTGCAGTAGAGGAATAGGCTGTTGGCATAATTTAGAGGACTTATGGGCTGCTGGAGTCCATTAAAGTGGGCTAATGTTAGCAATAGGACCAGGACTGTTGCATCTGTAATAGATTATGTGCTGTTTGATGCCATGAATTTCTCTGAAATGGTAGGTAATGTCCGTACCACCGAGATTCTTTAAACTCTTCGTCTTATTACGGGTATTTCCTGACTGAGGAATCTCACACTTTAAATGCTATCAATTGATGTTCACATGATTCAACCATCCTTAGGCACTTGAGCCAATGGAATAAGTTCTCATTATCTTAATTTACATTCTACATGTGTTTCTTATTGCCGTGTACACATTCTCCTATTGGACTGTTTAGTGACTTTTAGTTTAAAAATCATTATGGGAAGATGTACTCTGTTTTTTTTACATTAACCACTTCCCATTTTAAGGTCAAAGACAAGTGCAAAAGTGTTGGTAAAATGCAAAATTGTTGGTAATATCGCTGACATTATGAAAACTTTGTTTAACTATGGGGAAGAGTAGGGTAAAGTTTGTCGGTGGGTAAGATATCTCACCCCTTTTATCTAGTTTTTTGTCAATTAACCAGAAGGGATCATCATATGTGATTTATAGATGCATGTGAGTAAGTTTAAGAAACTGGTTTTGCATGTCAAAGTAAATTTTCTACATACCAGAAGGAAAAAAAAAAAGTTTTAAAAATATACACGATAATGTGAATATTATCAAGATGAGATTATAAAACAGGATTGTGAATGAGTAATTTGTTTTTTTGGGGAAAACAAGTTTGAAATGCAAATCATACAACCCAGTGCTTCAGCCTACCCATCAATATATGTGACCCTGGACCACAAAACCAGTCATAAGGGTAAATTTTTTGAAATTGAGATTTATACATAATCTGAAAGCAGAATAAATAAGATTTCCATTGATGTATGGTTTGTTAGGATAGGACAATATTTGGCCGAGATACAACTATTTGAAAATCTGGAATCTGAGGGTGCAAAAAAATCAAAA